AGGCGCCTGTGGTCCCAGCTACTTGGGAGGCTGAGGCAGGAGACTCGCTTGAGCCCAGGAGTTGGAGGTTGCTGTGAGCTGAGATGCCATGGCACTCTACCCAGGGGAACAGCTTGAGGCTCCTGTCTCAAATAAAATAAAATAAAATAAAATAAAATAAAATATAATAAAAAAAAGAGTTATAGATAGCAAGGAATAGCAGCTCTAACTTTTATTTATTTATTTTTTTTGAGACAGAGTCTCACTTTGTCACCCTTGGTAGAGTGCCATGGTGGCACAGCTCACAGCAACCTCAAATTCTTGGGCTCAAGTGATCCTCTTGCCTCAGCCTCCCAAGTAGCTGGGACGACAGGTACCTGCTATAATGTCCAGCTATTTTTAGAGACGGGGTCTTGCTCTTGTTTAGGCAAATTTCAAACTCCTAAACTCAAGCAACCCACCCATCTCAGACTCCCAGAGTGCTAGGATTACAGATGTGAGCCACCACACCTGGCCCAGCTCTAACGTTTAAAAAACTTTAAATTTATCCGTTACTAAATTTGGATACTAATAGGAAGGCAAAAGATATTGTTCTTCAGATTTTAATGCCATAATCACCACCTGGATTGTAATTAGTCATTTCTTGGTAATTACAGCAATTATATTCAGAATAGGCAAAACTTTCATAGAAATATTGAGTGTTCAAATGTGAACAATCCTATGAACAATTAAACTTGCTCATCTATTTTTAAAAGGGGGAATATGTAAACATTCTTGTATTCAATGGGTGTCTGCTAAATGAAAAAGAAATAATTTTTACAGAGAAAAACATTGATTTAAAAATGAAGATGACTGTTTTTATTAGAATCAGAGTTGGAAATTCACTAATTTTTCTTCTTATGAGAGTAATAAAAAGATGCCACTAGTTTTTCTTATATCACAGTTATTCAGATGACCTCATAGTAGCCTTCTTTATTAGCCCAAATATTATCAGAAGCTGAGAAAGATTCTATAAAAAAAACCCCAAGGAATTGTAGTTGTAATCATACCGTTGCTGGAATAATCTCTGAGTTATATACCATATCTCCATTTCTCAAGGATTTCTGTACTTCATGGATGTGATTTTTTATATCATTTACAGTTGGAAAGAAAGATAAATTATGTCTTTCAGGTACCTCATCGGGTTTGAACATTTCCCTTTCAACAAACTTTCTGTGGAAAATATAAAATAAAATGAAAACATAAACTATTTAGCAATATACTTTTAGATCAAGACAGAAAAAATCTCATTTAGCATAAACTTTTGTAAAGTATAATTTACGGCTCTATAGGTAATTTATATTTTCCTACCTTTAATTTTTCCATACATTAAATCACAGAATTCATACAGATTACAGAAATGTAGTATTTTCACTGGTTAAACATCTAAATACATTACAGCGAGCTTTAATGTTTTCATGAAATTAAAGAAACTATTATTTTCAGTTTAAGTATAATAATGCTTTTAATGCTTACTATGTCAGGCCCTGCATGGAACACTCCACACCAAATATCTCCTTTTAACCTTGACTATGATCTTGTGACATAGGTACAATTATCATTTGCACATCATAGATGAAGGAATTGAGGACTGCAGAAGTTAAATCATTTGCTCAAAGTTATACATCTATCTATTAAGTAAGAGAGTTTGGGCCTACACCTATGTAATGTGCACAAATATCATGTTATACTGTTTCCAAAAGGCACCAATTAATATTATATAAAACATTATGTGCATGCGTGGCTTGGTGCCTGTAGCACAGTGATTATGGCGCCAGCTACATACACTGAGGGTGGTGGGTTCAAACCTGGCTCCGGCCTGTTAAATTACTGCAACAACAACAAAAAATAGCTGGGCGTTGTAGCAGGCGCCTGTAGTCCCAGCTACTTGGAAGGCTGAGGCAAGAGAATTGCTTACGCCCAAGAGTTTGAGGTTGCTGTGAGCTGTGATGCCAAGCACTCTAACGAGGGTGACACAGTGAGACTGTCTCAAAAAAAAAAAAAAAGAATTTGATGGACTAAGTTATAATGCTAACTGAGGTTTAGTAAATAATGAATGGCTTTACCAAATTTTGACTTTGTTCTAACAATGTTCCAGTGGAAATAAATATAAAATGTCTAAGCATGCTGCTAAACAGAAAAGTCATGCATTTTTTTTCTTCAGGAAGAGTCTCAATCTATTGTGCTGGGTAGAGTGCACATTACATAGGTGTAGGCCCAAACTCTCTTACTTAATAGATAGATGTTTAGATTGAGCAAATGATTTAACTTCTGCAGTCTCAATTCCTTCATCTATGATGTGCAAATGATAGTTGTACATCAGAGCTCACAGGAACCTCAAACTCTTGGGCTTGAGCAACCCTCTTACCTCAGCCTCCAGAATAACTGGGATGATAGACATGTGTCACTACACCTGGCTAGTTTTTTTTTCTTCTTCTTCTTCTTCTTCTTTTTTTTTTGTAGAAACAGGGTCTCACTCTTGTTTAGGCTGGTCCTGAACTCCTGCACTCAAGCATTCTACCTCCCTCAGTCTCTCAGAGTGGTGAGGCATGGGGACTGACTGAAAAGTCATGTCTTAATTAGGGAATACACATAACACTATGAATTAGAGTAAGTCCTCACTTAATGTCATTAACAGGTAGATTCTTGAAAACTGCGACCTTCAGTAAAAGACTTAAAATGAAATCAATTTTTTCTCTACACTTAAAAAGACTTTCAATGAAAACATGTTGAATAAAATGCTGTTATTTGCACAGGTATTGTTATGTCATTTTGCTTAAAGCAGCAGTTTCTAAGAACCTATTCATGACTTTAAAAAAAGAAATTATTATACTCATTTTGTTAGATGAGATTACAAAAACCAGTAAGAGCAAAAGTATCAGCAATCGTGACAATGAGCACAGGCATAGAGTTAAACCTAAATTTTAGTTCTGCCTCTGTCTTTTAAGCCAATTATTTAACCATTATGATTCTCCATTTTCTCACATGTAGAACTGAGATAAATACATCACTTTACAGAGCTGGTGTACTAAAGGAGGTCTTACACATAAAGAACGGGGCACAATACTTGGCACAGACACAGAAAGTACCACATGATGATGATGATGATATAAGTATTATTAACACCTGAGGATCAATAAAATTGGACCAGAGTACTACAAATAAAATTTCATTAGACAAAGAACTATCCAAATACTTTTGTTGTAATAAAATTTAATTATATTTCAATTTCAAATAGCTTAAAATAAGTATCTTGGCTTTAGGTTAAAATCTTCAGTCCTATAAAGGTTTTTCCTCTAAGGTATTTATTAAATAATTCAATTTATACATCATTTAGAAAAAGTCTAATTTGCCAAACCCGAACATAGAATATTTCGAATGTGTAATTAAAATTATAATAAAACATATCATACTATGGCTTGCCAAACACTTGCTGGAAAATGATTAATTCAAAAATAAGATTTTTTTTTTTTAGACAAGAGTCTTACTCTCTTGCCCTGGCTAGAGTACCGTGCCATCATAGCTCACAGCAACCTTAAACTCTTAGGCTCAAGTGATTTTCTATTTTTAGTAGAGATGTGGTCTTTCTCTTGCTCAGGCTGGTTTCAAACTCCTGAGCTCAAGCAATCCACCCACCTCTGCCTCCCGGAGTGTTAGGATTACAGACATGAGCCACTGCACCCAGCAAAAATAAGATTTTTTCAAATAAATTAATAAGTTATATTTCTTATCTACCCTAATAGCATCTATCCAGGAATATATCTATACTGTTTATGTATTATTTAAAACAACAAACAAAAATGAAAAAATGTAAAAGTACCTTAGCTGTTTCCTTACTGCATATACTTGTTCTATTCCCTGTGATACTAATTCTTGAATCTTATGTGCTACTTGAGGATGTAAACGTGAGGGTAATGCACAATTCTCATCTCTAACTGCAGTTTCTTCTTCTTCAAGAGAAGAGATAGGAAAAGGGGAAGGTGGCAAAGGGAGGCAGGGAGTCTCTAATTCATGATACTGATGAGCTTGCTGTGTAGGTAACTGTACATACCATCTGAGAAAAGAAAATATTTAAAATTATTAAAATATTTAAATTACTTAATATTATTAGGCTAAGGCAGGAATCATAATTAACCTAAGAAAAAATATATATGATTATATATATCTATGTATATAAAATCCAAAATGATCTCTGCTTACCTCTTCTAAGATTTGCTTTACACTCAACTATACAAAAATCTTTATAAACCTTTATAGAATTTCACAGTGGCCCTGCAGTTAAGGGAGATGCAGGGACTTATATGTATATAAATATATACACACACACATACATATGTATATACATTTTATTTCATATTAAGGAAATTCTACCACAAAAATAAAGAGACAACATTGTAAATCATCTTTTAAATTGCATATTTTCATATTATCAAACTTCTGTCCCAAACTATACACTTATCATCCTTTCAGCCAGAACATGTATACAATTCCCAGCTATATTAGAGACTCTTCCCTCATGGGAGCTCATACTGTACTGCCTCTACAGCACTCCTAGCTCTTGTTGGCCCAGTGAGCAAGAGAATAAACTAAAGATGAACACAGATATCTTGGAGTACAGTGCAAAAAACAGAAGCTGGGAAAATGAATGGATCTGGTAGGATACTGCTTTAATTGATATTTTTGTATAAAATTCTTACAAAGACTGACATTACATGAAATTGAGCCTACTCAGAAATTATATACAATGTTCTCCAAACTGAAGGATTTAATAATTTTCTCAATTCATTTTTCATATATCTAAAAGTTTTTAAAGATCATACAAAAACTGTATTCCATACATTTAACCCCATTATACAACAGAAAATTCTTCACCTGGACTGATACATAAAGTAAAAAAGAAAGCTAATATTTCTTATTTAAAACCCAAAGCATAAAAGGCAAAGATGGAATTTGTTGTTGTTGTTTTTTGCAGTTTCTGGCCAGGGCCGGGTTTGAACCCACCATTTCTAGTATATGGGGCTGATGCCCTACTCCTTTGGGCCATAGGAGCCACCCTGGAATTTGTTTTTTTGATTTTTTTTTTTTTTTTTTGAGACAGAGTCTCACTTTGTGCCCTGTGTAGAGTACAACGGTGTCATAGCTCACAGCAACCTCAAACTCTTGGGCTAAAGCGATTCTCTCGCCTCAGCCTCCTGAGTAGCTGGGGCTACAGGCGCCTGCCACAATGCCTAGCTATTTTTAGAGACAGGGTCTCGCTTTGGCTCAGGCTGGTCTCGAATCCAGGAGCTCAAGCAATCCACCCACCTCAGTCTCCCAGAGTGCTAGGATTACTGGCATGAGTGACGGTGCCTGGCCCCAAAGATGGAATTTTATTTAGAGTTTAGAATTCATTTCTGTTTGCTGTAAGTAATCAAAGATACATTGAAAAATATAAGGTGGGTGGGCAGCCCCTGTGGCTCCAAGAGTAGGGTGCCGGCCCTATATACCGAGGGTGGTAGGTTTGAACCTGGCCCTGGCCAAATTGCAACAAAAAATAGCCAGGCCTTGGGGCAGGCATCTGTAGTCCCAGCTACTTGGGAGGCTGAGGCAGGAGAATCACCTAAGTCCAAAGAGCTGGAGGTTACTGTGAGCTGTGATGTGCAAATGATAGTTGTACATCAACTATCGCTACTGAGGGCGACAAAGTGAGACTCTGTCTCTAAAAACAAAACAAAACAAAACAAAAAATATAAGGTAGGGCTCAGCACCCATGCTCAGTAGATAAGGTGCTGGTTACATACACCAAGGCAGGTGGGTTCAAATTCGGCCTGGGCCTGCTAAAAAAAAAAGACAACAAAAAAATAGTTGGGCCTTGTGGCAGGTGCCTTTAGTCCCAGCTACTTGGGATGCTGAGACAAGAGAATTGCTTAAGCCCAAGAGTTTAAAGTTTCTGTGAGGTGTAACACCACAGTATTCTACTATGCTTTTTTTTCTCTGTTGCAAGAAAAAGAAAAAAAAAAATACCATGTTTCCCCAAAAATAAGACACTGTTTTATATTTATTTTTTTCTCAAGAAGACACACTAGGGCTTATTTTCAGGGGATGTCTTATTTTTATTAAGTATAATACAACAATCAACATTTATTCAAACAGAGTTAAGTCATCTTCTTCTAGAACGTGACAGGGGGAGCCAACCTTGTTGGTGGGGGTGGCACTAGTGATGCGTGAACTCCTTTCCCCGAGCCGTTTGCCTGTGCGCAATAGGATGCCTGGGACATAGTTACCACGTGTGCATCCACGCAAGTGCAAGGAGAAAGGAGCTGTGGCAGATAAAAGGTATTCCAGTCTTCTTTTGCTCTGCGCTGAAATGCATAGCCACACCCATCACTAGGTCTTATTATCGGGGTAGGGCTTATATTTAACAGATGCATAGAAATCCTGCTAGGGCTTATTTTTGGGGTAGGGCCTATTTTCAGGGAAACACGGTGTGTGTGTGTGTGTGTGTGTGTGTGTGTGTGTTTATATATATATAAGGTGGCTGCAAGTTCTGTTTCTAGGAAGTATCTAAAACGAAGCATTAAATATATAATAAAATATGTTGCTAAATACTTACTGGTGATTTTGGGGAAAAGCTTGCACATGGCATACAGCATATAGTATATACATAGTATATATACAGTATAGTACACATATACATAGTATATAACATACAGCATAGTATAATTTTTTGGTCAGAATTATCTGCAACTTTTAGGTGATAAACTCAAAAGTTTACACAGTAGTCAATCAATTTAATACTGAGGAAATTACTAGTGAGACATCTATCTGCCCTATAAAACCATTACTTTCTTTTGAGACAAAATCTTACTCTGTTGCCCTGGATTGAGTGCCAAGGCATCACAGGCCACAGCAATCTGAAACTCTTGGGTTTGAGCAATCCTCTTGCCTCAGTCTCCTGAGTAGCTAGGACTACAGGAACCTGTCACAATGCCTGGCTAGTTTTTCTATTTTTAGTAGAGATGAGGTCGCATGCTTGCTTAGAGTCACCACACCTATTTATACTTAAGGTGGTTTACGCCTGTAATCCCAGCATCCTGGGAGACTGAGGCCGGTGGATTGTCTGAGCTAAGGAGTTCAAGACTAGCCTAAGCAACACGAGACCCCATCTCTACTAAAAATAGAAAAACTAGCTGGGTGTTGTAGTGGGCACCTATAGTCCCAGCTACTTGGGAGGCTGAGGCAAGGGGATTATGTAAGCCCAAGAGTTTGAGGTTGCTGTGAGCTATGATGCTATAGCATTTTTACCCAGGGGGACAGAGTGAGACTTAAAAAACAAACAAACAAACACACAATTATTAATGAAATAATTGGAAAACAAAATTATAATTTCTCCTATAAAAGAATTCTTGCAAATGGACCTTCTTAATTAATACAATAAAAGAACCATATAAATGTCATACCTAAGAACACCACCAGCATCTACCATGTTCTTCTTTAGCATGTTAAAGGCTTTCTCCTGCTCCATTCTGATTATTTTCTTATCAATTTTGGGATCTGTAGGAACTCTATACTCAGGAAACTTCTGTACCTTTTTAATGTAAATCCTTTATACAAAATAAAGAAAAATTTGTTTCATTATAGTATAATTTCAAGGAAATCTAATTTGTCAACAAGTTTTAGCATTTAAGTTTAGAGAAAATTCAATTTATCTAGAAAGTATTCAGAGGCTTATATAAAAGATATGCCATATTATCAGTGCATAATACTTAGCAAATTAACAATAATCCTGACTTGCATATCTAAGTATTTATAGATTTTAACTTTTTTTTTCTGGATTTTTCTCCATTCTCCTGAAAACTATAATCACCTCATGCCTGGATTACCTTAATAGCCTTCTTCCAGGCCTCTGTGTCTCCAATCTTTCATTAAATTCACTTGATACTCAATGCTATAATAATTCTTCACATTTGTATTCTTCTGTTGAAGAATATGCCTGCTCTTTAATCAAGTACAAATTTCTTGACAATACTCAAGGCATTCCATTATGATTCTAATTTATTCACCTGATCTTACTTTCTATTACTTCAAATGTAAAATTTCTTTTCCTGAGTTCATCTTCTCTATGTGTAAACCTTCCATATCTTTATTTATGTAGCTCTCCTAGCCTAACATTCTGCCTACCCAAATTCAGCATCAAGATTAAATTGAACTTTCTTTCCTGCCATGAGTTTTGTATGGATACAAACCTTCTCTAAATACCCATTACAGGTAGCTAACTCATACATTTCACAATATATAAACTATACTACCATGTTATCTACTAGTTTCTTGTTTCCTGATCCACCAAAATGATACTTTAAATTTCCTCATATTAAGTAAATTTTTATTCCTCTTTTGGTTTCTCTGCTTCTAATGGCAACAAATACAGTTTCTGGGCACAGAGTATAATATGCTGAAAAAGTACTTGGAGGATGTGATAAACTATAAAATTATTTCTTCACATGTGGAGGTTTTTTCTAATTTATACCTAAAGATTTTACTTTGCTTATATTTAGAAAGCAGTTGAAAGTTTTGTTTCATGGTTAGTTCTAAATATTGCCTAAAGTGAATTAATTATCAAGTTAAATATGAAAAGTCTTCTGAACAGGCTTTAAACACTTAAGAATGTTGAGGTTTGGGCTGGGCATGATGGGTCATGCCTATAATCCTAGCACTCTGGGAGGGCGAGGTGGGTGGACTACCCTGAGCTCACAGGTTCGAGACCAGCCTGAGCAAGAGTGAGACCCTGTCTCTACTAAAAACAGAGCCAGGTTTTGTGGTGGGTGCTTATAGTCCTAGCCACTCAGGAGGCTGAGGAAAGAGGATGGCCTGAGCCCAAGAGTTTGAGGTTGCTGTGAGCTATGATGCCACAGCACTCTACCCAGGGGGACAGAGTGAGACTGTCTCAAAAAAAAAAAATAAACAAAAAAATCCCTAAGTGCCCAAGAGAGATTTTTCTGCCAGAGGCTATAGTGCTTTTACTGCTTCTATATTCCTTTCTGTATAATAAAATCCTGTCTTACCACTGGAAAAAAGAAAAAAAAAACTAAAATAAATATTCTATTTTGAGTAATAATTTAAAGCACTCTCAAGGTCTAAAATAAAAGTCTTGGATGGTGCCCACAGCTCAGTGGGTAGGGCGCCAGCCATATATGTTGAGGCTGGCGGGTTCAAACCCGGCCCAGGGCAATTAAAACGACAAGGACAACTGCAACAACAAAATAAAATAGCCAGGCGTTGTGACAAACAGACACCTGAGTTCCAGCTACTTGGGAGGCTGAGGCAAGAGAATAGCTTAAGCCCAAGAGTTTGAGGTTTCTGTGATGCCAGGGCACTCTCCCCAGGGCGAGAGCTTGAGACTCTGTCTCAAAAAAATAAATAACGTAAAATAAAACAAAAGTCTTAAAATACCTTCAAAGTCTAAAAAAATTATATTCATAATGTAAAGTATATTATAAACTATTCACTGGTTTACATTTTTCATTTTTACTCAGTGCAATGACTGTCCCACAGTCCTACTCTATCTAAAAATACTACACTGGTCTTTTTTTTTTTTTTTTTTTTGAGACAGAGCCTCAAGCTGTCCCCCTGGGTAGAGTGCCGTGGCATTACAGCTCACAGCAACCTCCAACTCCTGGGCTCAAGCGAGTCTCCTGCCTCTGCTTCCCAAGTAGCTGGGACTACAGGCACCCACCACAACGCCTGGCTATTTTTTGGTTGCAGCTGTCATTGTTGTTTGGCGGGTCTGGGCTGGGGCTTTGAACCCGCCACCTTAGGTGTACGTGGCTGGCGCCTTAGCCGGTTGAGCTATAGGCGCCAAGCCACTACACTGGTCTTATACCTGGGTGGTAACTGACAAAATCTCTCTCTTAAATGGTAATTCACCCATAAATGGAATACTATGTGGCTGTTAAAAAGAAAGACATAGTGATTTTATGTACAGATATAAAGTTAGCTTTGAGAGATACTGGGAAGGAAAAAAAAAAGCCAAGTACAAGTCATTACATTCACTCTAGTATGTAGCATATCTATGTAGTAGATAACCACTACAGGCACTCAGATTGAGAATAAATCTATGTGAATTCATACCAGGAAAGAATTCGTATTACTATCTAATTTTAAGGAACAAAAATACTAGTGAGTTTTACTGAGACCTTCAACAATGTTTATGGAGGCAGAGATCTCTGTAGATATATGTATGCATACACACAGAGTATCTTTGAAGATGAATCAAGAAAACTAGAAAAAACTGTTGCCTTAGAGACATAGGTAATACACTATTTAAATTTAACAAAAACTGTACATATTTGCTGTTAAGAAATAAGGACTTAATAAAAAACAAATAAAAGAAAGCTTACCGAGCTGGACAAGTGGCTTTGTAGAGCTGACAGGCCTGGCTTTCCTGCTCACTGATTTTTTTTAACTGGAAACCTTTTCTCCTTGGCCCATATTGACACTCCATTACCACAGCTCTACTCCCTGTGGGCCAAAACCAACTATAGATATTAATTCAAGTGTCCATCATTCTAGACACAAATTAAAAATAACTTGGTGGTGGCAATGTCAAAATCTATGCTTTCGATTATACACTAATTGAAGTCTTAAGATGTATAGATACATAAATTTGAAAGTTTATCATAAAATTCACCACATATACTCTAATTATGGCAAAGAAATAAGCAAATATCACAGTAATTGAATGTCTACTGATACTTACATGATTTTTAGTAATAATTAAATTTACCATTTCATAAATAGAAATTAGTAAGTACTGCATGTAGTTAACAAATATTCATATCATTTAAAAATGCATTTCCTTTTATAATTATTTATTTTCTTATTTCTTATTCCTATTTGGGGTGTGAATGCAGTAATGAGCCTCTAAGATGGCCCCCAACGATCCCTGCCTCCTCTTCAGCATGGGCTGGACTTACTTCCAGTGAATACGGCAGAAGTGATAGGATGTTATTTTTGATAACCAGGTTATAAAAAGACTGTAACTTCCATCTTGGGTACTCTCACTTGCTCTTGCTTGGATTGCTCTCTCTGGGTGAAATCACCTGCCATGTGGTGAGGAAACACTGAAGAAAGGCCTACATGGAAAGACCCATGTGGCAAGGAATAAGGCCTGCCAACAGCCACATGAGTGAGTTTGGAAGCAGATCCCCCAGTCAAGTAGTAAGGTGACAATTGCAGCTCCAGTCAACACCTTAAGTGCAGTCTTGTCAGAAAGCCTGAGATGGAAACACTTCGCTAAATTTCTCTTACATTCCTGACCCACAGAAACTGGGAGATAACAAATGTCTGTTTTTCAATTACCAAGTTTAGGGTGATTTGTTACATAGCAATAGATAATACAAATAAGTAGATAAGAAAACTACAGTTTGAGCCAGGCATAGTGGTGCACAGTGACTCACTCCTATAGTTCTAGTACTCTAGGAGGCTGAGGTGGATGGACTGGTTGAGTTCAGGAGTTCAAGACCAGCCTGAGCAACACTAAGACCCTGTCTCTAAAAAAATAGCTGGGCATTGTGGTGGGCACCTATATGTAGTCCCAGCTACTTGGGAGGCTGAAGCAAGAGAATGACTTGAGCCCAAGAGTCTGAGGTTGCTGTGAGCTATGACACTGTAGCACATACCAAGGGCATCAAAGTGGGACTCTGTCTCAAAAAAAAAAAAAGGTCTAGCAATACTCAGTTATCAAGTAAGTGTGGGAAAGGGAAATTTTCATACATTGCTGAGAGAAGTGAAATTGGTACATGTTGTCAATCCCTATGTATAAATATAAAATATAAAAAGCTCAGAAAGCAGTTTTTTGGAACTCATTTGGCTGCTAAACCAGAGTCAAACTGCATGAGGCTCTTTATAGTCTGTATTTATTCCTCTTAGTGTGACTGTCCATGAAGAATTACTGTCTGATTATGTGATACTGCCTATAGAATAGCTGTCAAGAGTATTCTGTTATATTACAATATTACATTCCAAAAATTCAGAATGCATCTGGCCCAGAAAATTTCAAAGAAGGGATTCTGGACCTGTACAACCATTTAAAAGAGCAATTTAAGATAATCTTGTAAAGATGAATACTTTACATACTTCACAACCAGTATTACACTTTAAAGTATATATTCTAGAAAAATTAATTACACCTTTTCATCAGAGGATATATACTGTGGAGGTCTGAGTTGGAAACAACCTAAATGGTAGTCAATAGAGAAGTAATTATGCTTTGGTCATATGCCAGAATATTATATATAGTTCCAAATTGTATACAAATTCTATAAAGTAACTCCAAAGCTATAACCTACATGAAATAGATACAAATTTGTCCCAAAAGACAAATTAAGAGAGAAAGAGAAAATTAGATTCAGAGGAAGAAAAAAAACCCATAGGAGACATATATACTTAAAATAATAAAATTGCTCTTTTTACTTTTTATTAAATAGGTCTACCAGGAATCTCAGTACTTTAATTTTCTTTTTTTTTGAGACACAGCCTCAAGCTGTCCCCCTGGGTAGAGTGCCATGGCTTCACTGCTCACAGCAACCTCCAACTCCTGGGTTCAAGCGAGTCTCTTGCCTCCGCCTCCCAAGTAGCTGGGACCACAGGCGCCCGCCACAACGCTAGGCTATTTTTTGGTTGCAGCCATTATTGTTGTTTGGCGGGTCTGGGCTGGATTCGAACCCGCCACCTTAGGTGTATGTGGCTGGCGCCTTAGCTGCTTGAGCCAAAGGCGCCGAGCCAATTTTCTTTTTCTTTAATTTTTTTTTTTTTTTTTTCTGAGACGGAGCCTCAAGCTATCCCCCTGTGTAGAGGGCCATGGCATCACGCTCACAGCAACCTCCAACTCCTGGGCTCAAGAGAGTCTCCTGCCTCAGCCTCCCAAGTAGCTGGGACTACAGGTGCCCGCCACAACGCCTGGCCATTTTTTGGTTGCAGCCATCATTGTTGTTTGGCGGGCCTGGGCTGGGGATTTGAACCCGCCACCTTAGGTGAATGTGTCTGGCGCCTTAGCCACTTGAGCCACAGGCGCCGAGCCTTTTTTTAATATTTTAATTTTCTATTTATCAGCATAATATATAAAGAAAGCATTATTTACTATTCAAAAATAGTAAATATTTATTTACTGATATATTAAAATGCAATTTTATTACATAAACTGTTTATATTTGCTAAGTTTTCTTTTAAGTTTAATATGCATTTGAATAAATTAACATTCAGTTGTTATCTACCAAAATAAAAATGTACTACCTTAGGAAAATCGCATTTTCACACTTAACTATGGCTGCTGCTAAATCTTTAAAAATAATTCTTTAAACAAGTACCTGCATTGACAAACGGGATTCCATCATATGGGACATACTGGGATTTCCACATCAAGCGTGTGGCAGGCTTGGCTGGGCTTGGAGACTGGCGGGTCCCCCAAACAGTCTGTGTTTGTTGCTTATGAAATGTTAGAATACTTTCTAATTCAGTCTCACTTATACAATAACCACGATATGAATCTCCAATTTTCTGCATGTAGTAGAAAATAAATAACAAAATTATTAGCAAATATACTTTACTGCACAATAAATTTAATAAGATGCTTGTTCAAGATTAAGACTCATCACTTTTCACAGGAGAATATCATTTGTTTCCTCAGATCAATGGTCTGTTACAACCAGTGTATTTGAACCAAGCTCAATGAGTGTCATCAAATAGATATTTTCCATACGTTTGTTAGGGGGGGTATAATGTCAAATTTACTGCCAGACTATCTTTCTCAAAGTCTTGCTTGAAAGAAAGAATATTCTAACCTGGATCAACGAGGATCACTATAGAACTAGCCACAAAGTACCACTTCCCTATGAAGCTTCTTTTACTAAGACTGATTTTGTTGTGATGTCATGAGTCTATTTGAAACCCTATGAAAATTGTGATTGTATTTATTATAAAAATGTTTAGAACAATTTCCTCATTATATCAATATTCTTTTTAATGAAGATCCTTTTCTGGAAGAAATTCCTATCTGGCCATACTACCAAGAATTAATAGCTACTTTTATTTTATGGAAATTAGTATACTTCTTTTTATCTAATAGGCACAGAATTTAGTTAACTAGGTTTCCACTTTTGAAATGCAGATAGATTACTGACAAGTATGTGTATACACATATACACAAAGTTTGTTAAGATATTTATTTTCTTACTTCCATTTAATTGGTCCTATTCTTGTTTTTTGCTATTGTTTAGCTCCCACTTATAATTTTGCTAATACATTTTATATATTTTTGTAAGCAGTCTTGAATTCTTTCTGAATCAAGCTATAAATAAATCATGTAAATAAACTGATATTATCTATACACAACCATTTGAGTATCCCCAGACTAGAGAATCTTTTTCTAACTACTGACAGAGAAAATCTGTTAACTGTAATGTCTTACAATGATATGCATGCAGACCTTGAACTAAGTCTATGTATTTTCCCACCTTTAGAGGAAATAAAAGCAGACATGTGGGCAGAGGAATCTTGTTCCTCCTCATTAGACTAAATATTTTGCCTTGGAAGAAAACATTTAACAAAGAGAATGGTATCAAAATACTGTTGTCACTGTTCTTTTGGCCATAATAAAAAGAGATAATCCAATGCCAAACAATACATTATCTACAAGTTCTCCCTAAAATAATAAAATTGCTTATGTTTACAAATTTTCTTCTAGCCTAGATATTTCTTCATAAAAATATCCACTACAAATAAAAGAGAGGATATAATGTCCAGCTGTAATACTTTCATACAAAGCAGAACCTCTGTAAACTGGCCACCCAGGTACTGTAACAAAGTGGTCAACATTCAGGAGTGGGCAACATAAGGCACTAGCCTCCTTACTGATACACACATGTGGTGCATGTCCAGTCTATGGAAATTAGGTCAAGTGGTTAATGTAGGGAGATGGTCAACTATAGAGGTTTTACTGTGCATAGAAGGAATAGAACATATAATGTTGTCAATAAAAGGAAAACTTCAGAATTAGTGTAATATAATCAAGCCTATATGCACCTACAAATAGCCCATAAATAAAAGTTTAATACAGTATTGATACACTTTGATCAAATCAGAAAAAAATGCTTACAGAAAAACATCCTTAAGTGAGACATCCAAAAACTAAAAAAGATGATTAAACAGTATTTTGAACCAAAATGCAGAAAATTTTTTTTCCCATTAACCAAAAATGTTTTTCATTACTGATATAGCTTGGAACAAGACAAAGAATCCTTCACTGGGACCTATGTGGTTGTTCACCTTAGAAAACCATATTCAAGGGCGCCTGTAGCTCAGTGGTTAGGGCTCCAGCCACATGCTCTGGAGCTTGTGGTTCGAACCTGGCCCAGGCCTGCTAAACAAAACAAACAAACAAAGAGCCAGGCATTGTGGCAGGCGCCCGCAGTCCCAGATACTTGGGAGGCTGAGGCAAGAAAATCGCTTGAGCCCAAGAGCTTGAGGTTGCTGTGAGTTATGATGCCAGGACACTCTACTAAGGGCAACAAACTGAGACTCTTGTTCCCCTCCCCAAAACAAAAACAAAGAAAGAATAAAAAATGAGTTTGATAAAAGTAGGAAGTAAAATAGAACACAATAGTATGACATCAGATTATGGAAAGCTTTGAAAGCTATAGTCGCTAAATAATGCAGAAAAAAATAATACAACTTATTAGGGACCTGAAATGGAAGAGTCAAAGAGATAAGGGTGGAAGGCTATTATTATAATTAAGCAGAAAAGCACAAAGGTCTATGAAGAATGGGCCAAAAAGGAAAAAGAAACTTTAAAGGAAAAACTAAAAGAATCTGCTGACTACCTGAATGTGGGAAGGGAAGGAATTAGTCTAAAGCTTTGTGCCTGGGTGTCTAAAAAAAATGGTATTTCTCATTTCACAGACATGGAATTCAGGAAATGGAGCTAGTTGTGGCATGGTAGACAATTTCATTTTGAGATATAGTAAATTTATAAAAGCCAAATCAAGCTTCAAGTAGGTACCTTGTGATCTGGGGCAAGAGTAAGGGCAGAATTAAAGAAATGGTAATACAGACTTGAGAACTATTTTTATAAATATAAGAGTCAAAAGTGAACAAAGTAGGGCAGCACCTGTGGCTCAGTGAGTAGGTTGCCAGCCCCACATACCTAGGGTGGCGGGTTTGAACCTGGCCCCAGTCAAACTGCAACAAAAAAACAGTCGGGCATTGTGGCGGGCGCCGGTAGTCCCAGCTACTCAGGAGGCTGAGGCAAGAGAATCACCTACGCCCAAGAGCTGGATGATGTTGCTCTAAGCTGTGACACTATAGCATTCCACTGAGCATGACAAAGTGAGACTCTGTCCCCCCACCCAAAAAAACAAAAACAAAAACAAAAAGTAGTTAAGTGCTCCAAAAGAGAAACTGCAGGGAAAGAATATGAGGTCAAAAAGTGAGCCCTGAAAATTTTCTGGTGAGAATATGAAAAGAAGTGATGAGTATAAGCAAATAAAGAGAAAAAAATATTAAAAACATTCAGTGGGGAAAAGATTCCCTATTTAAGAAATGGTGCTGGGGCTCGGCGCCTATGGCTCAACCGGCTAAGGCGCCAGCCACGTACACCTAAG